AACTTGATGACCAGCTTGGTAGGAGAAGATAAAAAGAACAACATACTGTACATCCCTAAATTAAGGGATAGAATTTGTAACTTATCTAGAATGAACTGATGCTTAACTTTATGTTTTTTCAGATCAAGGTATGGGATATCCCTTGATTTGATGATGGAATTAGCTCTGAACACACCGGTAATTGCGCTTCCTAGGTGAATCATTTTGTTTTGAAAAGATGCCAATCCATATCGAGTCATAATGCTTAAATAGTTCATAAAACAAACATAAATCAGTTTCATAATTCAGCTCCTCCATGAAGCATATCAAACTGATTAGTCACTGGAATAAATTGTTCAAAAAACACATAAATTCAAACCATAGTCTAAGTAAGCATGAAAGAAAACAGCATGAATTATTGTTTCACATTGTTTATCATATGGTCTCAGATTCTTCAAAAGCTCAATTCAGGCAAATAGTAATTTATAACTCCACTAAACAAAAAGAAAAAACAATGGAAAAAGCAAAGCAATGTTTACCATCAAAAAGCGGCATCATATGCTTAAGCATCATGTTTAGCATGGAATTAAGTTAGCATCACTATTTCACAACAGATAAATATGTGTCAAGCAAACATATTTCTCAACCATTGAGATCCTCACTCATAATATGTTATCGTGGAAAAATATTTTGAGCCTGGTGATTAGCGTAAAAATGAAAGGTAGTACATGAGATCATTGAACCTCAACCCTCATGGTCTATGCTTCTGAATCCTAGTGTGGCGCTGCAGAAACAAACCTACTGCTACTATGAAATGTCTCACATGTTAGATAGTGACATAGATTGAAACTGAACCTTGAGCTATCAAAGTTCATATTGTTTATATTGAATCGTGATAAGTACAACAGTTGAAAGTGAAAATCAAAATCAAAATGTTGATATAATATAAAATTTATAAAGGGTTACCTCACTTTATTATATAAGTATATCAGTAAGCTAGGTTTGCAAAATTAATTCCACCTAAACCATTTTCTAGCAAACTTTCATATGATGAATACTAATACAATCTTAGACTCTTTACAAAATCAAATCCAAAGCAAAAAATTAATTGATTCCCTACAATTAATGATGAAGCAAGTTAAACTAGATTAAAAAAACAACTAAAAAATAAATTGATCATCCTAAAGAATGGCAAAACATTTGACAATTATAAAAAGTCAACATCAGTTTCAAATAACAATAAAAACCACTAGTGTGATAGTGCTTTTGTCCATTATTGCACCTGTTTGGGACATTTAGTGGTCAAAAGGTTATATTGTTATTTTTCTATGTTAGAAGCTTTCAGCAGACAACCATGGGTAATTTTGATATTTGTGTAGATTTGACATGTTAGGTTAGTCAGACATACTCAGTACACAACATCAACTCGACACTGTCATTATTGTCCCTTAATGGACCTTCATCGTATATTTATAATATGAAGATCCAAGCACTATTAAGGTAAGTTCATTTTACTCATAATTTTTCTTATTACTTTCCTTCCAACCTCACCTATCCTGACTTGCGCATCGAAGTACAAATATAGGGAACACTCTCTGCTTTTGCTTCTAACTGTCTTTCTTTTCTATCTTTGCAGAAGTATCCTAAGAACGAAGTTTGGTACAAACATTTTATGCCCTACGTACAGGGTTATTTTTTCACTCATTAATTGAGCATAAAACAATGCCACCAAGGAAAAGAACCTTAGAGTAGGGAGAGACGACCATTCTAGCTGGAATAGAAACACATAATAGTCAACACTCAGAACAACCTACCCCACTGTGGATAAGCCTGACCATGGAATAATTCATATCCTTAATCAAGCAGATATAAGCCCTTAAATAGATGTTACAGACCATAACCCCACCATAAGTTTTGAAAGTACCTAACCTAATTACCCTTGGCTAAAGAGTCGAGGTAAGACAGCCAAGTTATAAAGAAATGAAAGCCTCCTCAGCCTTCAAAGAAAAGAAGTATAACACACTCATTCACCACTATCCCAACCATAACTCGACACATGCCACAACCTAAAAATTCAAACCGATAAATCTTAAACCTCAATCAAATAAGGACTTAGAATCTTGGATGCAAGCTATGAAGAAAAAGCTAAAAACAAAAATAGTAACATTCAAGGATGAGCTTAAGTTCTCGGAGGCTTTGCCTTTTATTGAAAAAAATGATAGGCCATGCCTCTTAAAGGGTTTAAAATGTTGACCTTAGAAACATATGACAATACTTCTAACCTTTCGATCATTTGGAACTTTATAGGACTAAAATGATGATGTAAGGTGTAAACAAAGCTCGATATGCAAGGGCTTTGCAACCATTTTAAAAGGCGTAGGTCAATCTTGGTATAGTAGCCTAGAATCGAGTTCAATTACAATGTTTAAAGAGCTTAGCCATTCTTTCCTATCTCAATTTATGAGTAGTTAAAGAGCGAAAGAGACAACACTAAGTTTGATGTCGATCCACTAAGGTCGTAGTGAATTTTTGAAGAGCTATGTCACTTATTTTAATGCGAAAGCACTGTAGGTTAAAGACCTAAAGCAAACGATCACTATAGCCAACTAACAAATGGACTCAATGATAAATATTACCATATGAAGTTAACTTTGTCACTAGAACCACCTAAAACTCTAACAGACATCCTACTAATAGCTGATAAAATATATAATGTTGAAGTTACGATGAAAAATAATTGAGGTGAAAGAGGCTCATCCCTTTTCCTCAATCATATGAAAGGTAAAGATTTCTACAATCCTTTTTCGAGAGAGAGACGATATATGGCTAAAAGCCCTAATAGAGAAAAGAACTATACTGCACTAAGTACCTCTCGAAAGAAGATTTTGATGTAAATTGAGAGAAATCCTGATCTTATATGGTCGAAGCCATTATGACAAACACAAGAAAGGATCTAACCAAAATATGTGCCTTTCATAGGGATGTAGGCCATAACACCAAAGACTATGTTGACTTAAAAAATGACATTGAAGCCCTGATAAAAAATGGTTAGTTAAGAAAGTTTGTAGAGTAGCAACGATAGGACCAACTTATAATAGACTACAGATAAGATCAAAAAGAGCCCACCCGAGGCATAGAGAGAAAGCTAAAAACTGTAATAAGAAAAGTTCAATGAGATAAGTCGAGGCAATAAAAAATCCAAATTGATTACAACAGATCGATCACTAAAGTGATAAATATGATCACTAGAGGCAGCTCTACCTAGGTAAAAAAAAAGTTCAATCCAAACTTGCTCATAGCCATAAGCACTTCGATAAAAAAAAAAAAGACTAAAAAGGTGAATCGATCTCATTCAGCTCAAAAAACTTGAAAGAAATCTAACACCTACATGATGACACATAGTGATCACAGTTGTAGTATGCAACTATGTAGTGAAGAAAATCTTATTTGATAATGGGAGCTCAACCGACATCATGTACTATGACACTATGAAAAAGTTAAAAATTGATGAAAATCAGTTGCAGCTGATCATCACAACACTAGTGGGATTTAGAAATGAACAAGTACCAATGAAAGGAACAACCAAGCTATCGATCTCTTTAGGAAAAGAACTGAAGACTATCACTTTGGTCATAAAATTTATGGTTATCAATGTCCCATCAGACTATAACATGATATTAGATTGACCTAGCCAATCTGTTATACAGTTCATAGGCTCAACTCCTCATCTGAAAGTGAAATTTCCAACACCCTATAAGGTTAGAGAAGTTAAGAGAGATTAGTCTATGGCACGATAGTGTTATGTCACAACAATGAAAATAAGGACTAAAAAGTAGACTGACAGTTTGGCTAAGGCTAAAAGCACTAAAGAAGGGCAAACAGTGGAAGTCTACAAGAAGCATGAACACAAGTAAAAACATAAAACATAAGACTAACCTGACAAAAATGCACTTTTACACTGCTTTGAGCTCTTAAGTTCGAATAAAAAAATCTTTTATATTATTTTTAAAATTTTTTGAAGTAACTTTAAAGACAATCGAGTTCTTAAGTTGACATGAACAACTGCTTGTTATCTAATACATTAGCCAAAACATAGCATGAAATGAATAATACATACCAATTTCACTATATACATATTCAGAAAGTTATCAATAGCATACTAATTGAACAAAAAGAGATTGTAGACACCTTATTTTGTCCGAAAATTTTTAAGATTGGAAATGGGCTTTCGGTTGTAAACTGAGCTTAATTGAGAAATTTTGAGCCCAATAAGAAAAGTTTTAATTTTAATTTGATTTAATTTATTTTATTTATTTCTACTTGTTTGAAAAAAAAAAATAAAAAAAAAGAAAGAAAAAATCGTTGAAGATTTTGCAGTAAATTTTGGTGCTTGATTCATGCAATTACGTTAAAGATTTTGTAAAAAAATTCGGTGCTTGATTTATGCAATTAATTCACATGTAATTTATTGGCTAAAATAAAAAGGGTGGAATCCTATAAAGAAGTAAAAAAAAAGCATAAAAGAAAATTTTCTCCCACACTACACTGAATCCAGCATTACAGTCGTCCACTGCCAAGACCCCGGGTTGGCCGGCAAAAGGCCCTCACAAAGCATCCTCTATCATAATGTGATAATGGCCGTAATTGCAGATTTCATGTTTGTTGATCTTTCTGCTCCTACCGTCTCTCAGCCACCCTTAACCCCTCCTCAGCTCTGCACCAATCAGAAATGACAACCCACTTTAAGAAGAACGGCAAAAAGCGTGACCATGCGAGCGCTGGTCACAGCTATATCGACAAGCATCGCAAGCACTTGAGAGGTCGAGGAAACGCTAGAGGCATGCACCACCACAGGATTCTTTTCGACAAGTACCACCCTGGGTACTTTGGAAAAGTTGAAATGAAAAGAAATAAACAAGATAGTTTGTGAGGAGGGAATCAAAGGTGCCATTGCCATGGTGAAGTTTCTAAAACCCAATAAGGCCAAGATCATCTTCTAAGACTGATATGCTAGACGAAAAATGGTGGTCGTGAAGTCCTTTAACGAAGGCATGCGTGATCGCCCCTATGGCCACTGTTTGGTTACAGGAATAAAAGAGTATGCAAGCAAGGTTATCCGTAAAGATTCTACCAAGAAAATAGCCAAGAAATCACGCGTCAGTTGCTTCATCAAGCTCATGAATTACGAACACCTGATACCCACGTGCTACTTCCTTGATGTGGACTTGAAAGATATGGTTACCGTTGATGCTCTTCAAACAAAGGACAAGAAAATGGCTGCCTGTAACGCTACCAAGGAGAGGTCTAAAAAGACGTTAAAGATTGGAAAGAACAGGTGATTCTTTACCAAGCTTAGGTTTTGAGTATTTTGTTGGAGTTGTTGTTAAAAGTTTAAAAACTTTGGATTTCAAGGACGGATTTCAATTTGTTTCATTGATAGATTTCTGGTTTCTTTGTTGTTATATGAGATATTAACGTATAAGAAAAAAACCTTTTCAAATAAGTAAAAAAAAAAATCTTTTCAAATAAGTCTTCAAAATAATAAAAAAATCTTTTCAAATAAATAAAAATAATTTTTATCCTCTAAATTATTTAAGGATTGCTTTGAAGTAAGTCTTACCAAATTACTGGGAGACTTTACATTTTTTTAAAATAAAAATTAATAAATCCTACAATGGAGCCTCTTCAGAGTGGGACACTAGTCTCCATAAATACTCATTAGGTGAAAGAATTATCCTAAATTGCTACCAAACTATTGGAACAATTTTAAGATTAATTTTTAATATTAAATATTTGGTAAATCATAAAAATTATCAAAGATTGGATAATTTGAAAATATTGGATAATTTGAAATCCAACTGGTACCATCTTTTGGATGGGTGTTGTGGGAGTGCTACAACATTTCTCATGCGTAATCGACTCTCGAACCTAGCATCTATTTTGCAGATTACATTCAATTAGGTGGTCAATCACACCTAGACCAAAAAGATTGGTGGCGACTTCTTTTTTATCCATTCTAGCGATAAGTTTACAGATCTATATGTTATGATAGAGATAATTGACCAAAGATCGGACTTGAATGAAAATTGGCTTGAGTCGACTGAAGATTTAGTAGCCATACCATTATGAGATAACATCCCTACAAAACATATGCAGATTGAAACTAAACTTTAGCACAAGGGTTAGTTAATTCGGTTTCGAAGAGAGAATATTGACCTGTTCGCTGGACACCATCCAATTTGCCTAGAATTGATACCTAAGTGATCGTTTATATGCTGTTTAGTAATCCCGAGGTAAAATCAATTCGTAGAAAAAATAGCCTTTGCCCCAAAAAAACAAAAGGCCATTGAAGAGGAGGTCGATAAATTACTGCAAGTAAGATTTATCAAGGGGGTATACTACCTTGAATAGATAGCCAACGTGATCATGGTCAAAAAACACAAAACAAAAATATAGGATGTGTATTGACTTTATCGACTTGAACAAAGTATGTCTAAAAGATAACTTTCTTCCTTTTAGCATAAATCGACTAGTGGATGATAGTGCTAAGCATGGCCTCTTCAACTTTATGGATGCCTATTTTGGTTACGATCAAATCAAAATACTAAAAGACGATAAGAAAAAAATGGCTTTTATTACTAAAAAGGCTTTTACTATTGTAAGGTAATGTTCTTCAGATTGAAAAATGTAAGGATGACCTACCAAAAGCTAGTAACCAAGGTATTTAAAAACAAGATTGATTGCAACATGAAAGTATATATAGACGACATGATAGTCAAAAGCAAGAACTTGACCGAGCACTTGAAAGATCTCTGAAATACTTTTAATACTTTGAAAAAGTATAATATGAGGCTTAACTTAAGTAAATGTACTTTTAGGGTCATGTCGGGTAAGTTCCTTAATTATATGATTAATAAAAAAGGGATCGAGGCAAAGTACAATAGGTCCAGGCAATCTTAAACATGAAAGCACCGATTTTGGTAAAAGAAGTGCAGAAGTTAACTAAAAGAATAGTCGTCCTAAGCCAATTTATATCCAGGTTAACAAAATGATGTCTGCCATTCTTCAAAATTTTCAAAAACATTTCTAACTTTAGGTGGACCCTTTAATGTTAAAAAGCTTTTGAAGAACTCAAAGAGTTCTTACCTTCTCTACCTATTTTGTCTAAGTCAAGGTCCAGTGAAACCTTGTATTTATACTTAGCCACCACAGATCGATTTTGGTCTGAGATGTAGAAAAAAAGTAAAGATCGATGCATTTTGTGAGTAAAGTATTGACAGGGCAAGAAATCAACTATAATAGCATAGAAAAATTAGCATACGTAGTTATCACTTTGGCCAAAAAACTCAGGCTATATTTCTAAGCCCATGTGATCCACGTATTAATCGACCAACCATTGAGACAAGTGTTACAGAAGTTAGAAATGTTAGGGAAGTTAATCAAATAGGCAGTAGAGCTTAATGAATTTAACTTGCATGTATTACCCAAGTTGGCCTTAAAGTCTCAGATACTAGCAGACTTCGTCATAGAGCTTACCTTGGTACACAATGAAGGATAACCAGAAGAAAATGAGAAAATCTCGAATAAGGAAAATTGAAAGTTTTATGTTAATGGATCGACCATGAGCCACAACAGAAGAGCCAACCTTATTTTAATTAGTCTGGAAGGACTATAATATCTATATGCTTTGAGATTTAAGTTTAGGGTATATAACAATGAGACAAAATATGAGACACTAATAGTTAGTTTAAGGTTAACAACCGAGTAAAATGTTCAACATATAATTGTATATAGCGACACCCAACTAGTGGTCAGCTAAATAAATAAGGATTTTAGAGCTTGGAAAGATGAAATTCAAAAATATCTAGATAAAGTGTTGGCTTTGGTGGCTAGTTTTAAGAAGGCAGAGGTAAAAAAAATACTAAGGTTAAAAAATTCGCAGGTAGACTCCTTACCTAAATTGGCTTTAAGAATAATGACAGAAAGTCCAAACCAAGTCATGGTAGAAGAGTTGGCACACAAAAGCACCAAGAACAAACTTGTAAGATAGATCACCAAAAAATATTGAATGACATTGATCAAAGCGTATCTGACCACAAAAATACTACTTAAATATAGGATCTGAGCTAAAGCATTAATAAGAAAGCTCATAGGTATACAATGATCAAAGAAAAACTATATAAAAGATCTTTTAGCCTATTTTATCTAAGATGCATTGATAAGAAAGAAGCAAACTACGTCTTATGAGAAATTCACGAAAGAATATATGGAAACCACCTCAAATCTCAACCATTAACCTACAAAGTGCTTAGGTAAGGCTATTATTAGCCCACCATCAGAAGCGATGCGACTGAGCTGGTCAAGAGATGCAAAAAGTATCAAAAGTTTGCTCACGTGCAACATTTCCCTTTTATCAAGCTTACCTTTATTATCAGCCCATGACCTTTCATGCAATGGAGAATGGATGTCTTTAGATTGTTCAACTCAGTCACAGGTCAGAGGAGATTTACTTAGTAACAATAAACTATTTCACGAAATAGCTTGAAACCAAGGCTTTGGCCACTACGACAACGGCCCAAGTTAAAAAATTTATGTGAAAGAATATAGTCTATAGATTTAGCTTACCTCAGTTCATAATAACGAAAAATGGCAAATAATTTGAAAACTCGAGGTTCAAGGAATGGTGTTCAAACTTTCACATCAACTTGAGATTCACATCGGTTGCCAACCCTTAGTCTAATAGATAGGTCAAAATGATGAATAAGCCAATATTGGAAGCCTTAAAAAAAATTGGATATAGTAAAAAAAAAGTAGATCGATGAATTACCAGGTATGTTATTGGCTCTAAAGACGATGACTAAAGTACTAATAGCTAAAATCCCATTTCACTTGACATTTGGAATAGAAGCCATGCTACCTGTCGAAATTGACTTTTTGAGCTTAAATAACAAATTAGGGGAAAAAAAAGAAATGAAAAAGTGTTAAGAGCTGACCTAGACCTCGTCGAAGAGTAGAAAGACATAGCCTTGACACAGATAGCAGCTTATCAGCAAAAGGTATCTAGCTATTATAACAAAAAGGTCTGACATAAGTTCATCGAGAAAGATGGCCTGGTGCTTAGAAAAGTTAAAACTTCGGGAATAGATGATTGAGATGGCAAATTAGCCCCTAACTAGGAAAGACCATACATAGTTAAAGAAGTTATCCATGATGCAACATACAAGTTATAGGATATAACTGGTAACACCATTCCGAAGACATGAAATGTGGATAACTTAAGGTTCTATTACCCGTAGCTTGAACTAAACTGAGCTCACACTTGTAATTTATACCTGAATATAGAAATCAAATTACCCTTTACATTGAGCTCATACATCAATCGACCTAACAAAGTTTATCTTGAAACTTAGATGGATTCCCAAGTTAATTTGATTTAAGATATTCTTAAGCGACTAGGTAAATCTTCAGCCCACTTAATCAAGCTCAAACTTGCACGAATTCATGTTATCGTGATTAACCGAGCTGAAACTTGTTGAAAACAATAATAGTGAAATTGAACTAAAACTTGAGCTGAATTGAACAAAATATGCATTTGATTTTTTAATTGATTGGTATAAAATTGTCTACCAAAAATATATCTATTTGAGGTCACTACAAAAATCGATCTTATACATTATCAATTCTAAAACAAAAAATACACAAAAAAGTTAAAAAGAAAAAGAACTAGGTGTTAGCAATATCAACAGCATTTGATGTTTCATTTGCATAAGACATGCACTTGCACTATCCACTCATTTGATCTTGACTTAGGTCAGATCATTTTCAGACTATGACATCAATTCAGTAATTTTTTTTTACCTCGACTCGGTCCTAATCGCTTTATTTTGACTCATAACATAGTCCCAGTCATTTGATCTCGACTCAAATCAGATTATTGTCAAACTCATGACATCAGTTCGGTCATTCATTTTTTATCTCGACTCAATCCTGGACGCTTTATTTTGACTCACGACATCAGTCCAGTAATTCATTTTTTATCTCGACTCGATCTTGGTAACTTTATTTCGACTTGCAACATCAGTCTAGTCATTTATTCGATCTTGACTTTGGTCAGATCATCTTCAGACTTACAACATCAGTCCAGTCATTTATTTATGACATCAACTCGATCTTGATCACTTTTTGACTTGTGGTATCATCTCAGTTATTTGATCTCGACTCCGATCAGATCGTATTCTGACTCGCGACATCAGTCTAGTCATTTATTTGATTTTGACTCTGGTCAAATCATATTCTGACTCGCAGCATTTTTTCAGTCATTCAACATTGTCTCAGGTTA